AACTAAGAAACCAAGTAGAGAGAAACACAGAAGAGTCCTCAGCAGGATGTGGTACTGACCCTTTGGAGATTTGCAGGCACTGATGTGGCTTAGGCTCCTACAGAACCAGAACGGAGGGAATTTCCCATCCTTTGCACTCAACGGGGCAGCAGGAAGAACTGCTATTGCCAGACCTCTTACAGCAGAAGAGTTTACTGGGGTCTATCCCCAACAGTCTGGCTACCTGCCTCTTCCTTCCATGGAGGTTCAGGGTTTTCTGACTTCAGACTGCATTCATTCAGTTAACTCTAGATCCCTAACTACACGAAGCTCCCATCCCTGTCTTTTGTCCACTATAAGCCCACCCCACACCCACACCCCCCACCCCTCCCCCAAGATGCAAACTGCCAGATTATGTCAGTAGCAACATCCATTTTAAAAAATTATTAGAAAAAAAAATGATTGCTGTCTACAACACATGCTATCCCCAAATCCAACACAGGCAGAGATCCCGTGGATAAAACATGATCCAGTCAGGTCTTTGGCTGTGGTTCCTGACAGAGTTCTCTGTACACTTAGCAGGTGAATTTCTTCCTGCCTGTTGCTCCTCTTCTCTTGAGGAAGAAAGGAGCACTGAAAGTTAAACTCCACCCCAAGTGCAGAAATGGAGGTGCAGGAGTTGTTTACACACCAGTCTCATTTCTTTCACTGCTTTTGACATTAGGATCCTCTTGCACCTTTCTCATCTCCAACCCCTTCACCCACGTGTAGGCGAAGGAGCCCCCCAGGACCATCAAGTTACTCGTCCACCACAGTAAGCTCTTTGTCTCCTCAAAGTAGATAACAGCCAGCACGGTTTGGGCACAGGCCTTGGCTGTCCCAGACACGTTGTGGGTGAGTGGGCTTGTGAACTTAATCTGAAGTCCAGTCACGTACCCAATGGCAAAACCAAACACTCCCCCCAGGGTCATCACGCCCCAAAAACTGGGGCTCCCCAGCTTGTCAAAGTGGTAGAGGGTGCGGAATTCGCCCAGCAGCAACATGAGGGGGAAGAACAGGACACAGGCATTGACGTTGTTGTAGAAGGTCAGGCGCCAGATGCTACCATCCACCACAGGCAGCACCTTCTTGGTGTAGATGGCGTTGAGAGAGACACACAGGCTTGCTAAGATCCCAAAGAATATACCTGTCCATGACAGAGTGCCCTCTGCTCCTTCCTGGTCAACACCCAGCCAGAAGCCACCTGCAACCAAAGAAATCAGGCATCATGTAAACAACTGCTGAAGGACTCAAAACATACAGTCAGCAATTCATCATCTACCTTATACTGAACAACCACAACCACAAGCAGAGACAGGCTTAAGGGCTTCCCCTTTCTATTAAGTGAACCCACAAAGTGTCATGACTAGTGTCCTGGGAAGATTTATTTTTGGGAGCGTGGGTAATTTACTGTCCTATCTTTCAATCTCAGAGGACTGATTCTCACACTGAGCAGGCTGCAGGTGTTTAGAAACTGTTATTCCCAAGAGCCAAGAGTTAAAGTTAAAGCTACTCTCTGTGTATTGGCCATATTCAGGAGAGTATATGATTTTCTTCTTTTACAGTCGAAAAGGCAGCAAACTGACACAGAAATATTCCTCAAGGTTTAAAAAAAAAAAAAAGTGCCTCACAGGCTTTGCTGCACCGTTAACAGGAAGGAAAAGATAGGTCAGGGAAGATTGGAAGATAGTAAATACATGGATGTAATATTAAGAAGCTTGGTCAAAAAAAGATCAGAAGGTAGAAACTGAGTGCAGTATCTTCAACATGTTAAACTTCTTTGATGGGTAATGCACACTTTAACCACCTCCAAAACAGGAGCTACAGGCTTTGCCGCTGCAGGGCAGCGAGGGAGACCTCTCCCCCTCTCCCCATCCAGCTCATAAGCAAATCATAAAAGGGAAAATGAGGGAAGGAGCACCGCACTGCCTCTCCACCTGCAGCTTCGTGTTGGAGGCTGTCTGGGAAGTGGCCTGCAAAACAGCAAATATGCTTTATACTAAGCCCAAATGCAAATGGGTTCAATGCACAGATAGGAAGGGCTTTGTGTCACGCCAGAGGATGCTCTGGGCTGCTACAGGCATACGGGCACCGCTGCCACAGCAAAGGGAGATGGATCCAGGGGGACAGAGGCTTAGAGAAACCCTTTAAGTCTGGCAAATGCCATAATCCTGGGCAATACCCCAACACAAGACTAGCTGAAGGCAATTGCTTGCATCCCTTGGGTGGAAGAAAACAGTAGTTCTGTTCCTGCTCACTACTTCTGTGGAGAGCAGATTCTCTTGTCTCATTTTCATGTGAGTACATCTACATGTGTGAACACCCATGTGAACACATGTCCACCTGGAACTAGGCTGAAGTCAACATTTCACCATTCGTGTCATCTGAACAGCCATCCAGTGGAAAGTAACTTTTTTTTTTTTAAACTGATGCCTTTGGAATGAAAGGCTTGTAAACAATTCCTATTAAGCCAGTCAATGCCCTGCCCTACATCCTAACCACACAACCAGATCTTCTGGCAGTGTTTTACACTTGGCTAACCCTTCATCGCACGCATTCAGCCTGTCTGAATTGGCCAGCTCCATTGTGTGGTCCCAAAGGTGTTGAGAGAAATACTGTTATTGTTACCAAAGTTGACAATCAACAAGCACTTGAGAACACGGAAAAAGCCACCTGCCCTGGCTGGGGGTGGGGAAAGTAAGGCAAGTTAAACTTCATTAGAGAGCAGATAGGTTTTAGGGCTCAAAGGAAAAATGGGTCTGTGGTCAAGTAAGAGTAATTTCCTTAACGAGTTACCAACACATGCTCCAGCCATGCAAAGCAGGTTGTCAGAAGCAGAGCAAGGTATGACCCCTGAGCAACCCCACCTCACCAGGGAGCCACCAAGCAGGTGGGAACAGCTTCCCGAGGGGAAGACACTCCACCTCAGTCTCTCCCAGCTTATGGGGCCGGCTGCAGGGTGGGTGCAGCTCGCTCCCTCCCTCTCCCCCTCACCTATGATGACTCCACAAGCCAGGAGGGCGTAGAGGGAGGTGGTCTGCTTGAGGAGCAGGTAGGAGAGCAGCACGTTGAAGACAGTGGTGAGGGAGCGCCCCACATTGTAGAAGGCCACGCCGACGTGCTTAAGGCAAAGGTTGTTGGAGGTGACCATGCCGATGAAGACGGCGGAGAGCGGCAGGACGCTGCGGGACACCTTGGGATCGAGGCGGAGGGCGGGCAGGCCGGAGCAGGGGGGCCCGC